TTGCTTTCCGCTCTACCATGCAACCAAAGCCAAACTGCCAAAAACAATGATCGACACCCAATCCTCTGATCTCTGTGTTAATTCTTCCAAAGTGTGAAAATCATGCTGTAACAATCAATGTGTTGTAATCAGACTTTGATAATTAAGAGACAGGGGACCAGAGGGAGGTCCCAAAGTGATTATTATGGGATATTCCAAGCCAGAAAAACAGGAGGAGAGTGGGCTGAAGTTCACCGAAAACACCAAATACGCCAACTCTCACACAGAGGCAGGCTGGTGGAGACAAAAACTCTGAAGAGACAGAATGTTTTTTCACAATACTGTAGTCAAAACTCCCCTCACTTCTTATCCTTTATTAGCTGAACTCTAATCAATGAAATGTTTCCCAGTTCTTATTTTTAAATCTCTAAATTCCTTAGTTCGCAACCCAATCTATGACTTTAAAAGCCAGCCAGCCGTCCAGCCAGCCGTCCAGCCAGCCGTCCAGCCAGTCGTCCAGCCAGCCAGCCGTCCAGCCAGCCGTCCAGCCATCCGTCCATCCGTCCATTTATCCAACCATTCATCCATCCATTTATTCAACCATTCATCCATTCATCCATCCATCCATTGATCCATCCATCCACTCTCGGCTTTACCTGCAGTCCAGTTTCTCTATCTCAAAGTGCGGGTTGAAGTTGAGGACGATGCGTTGCGAAGGCTCGGGGGCTGTGATGACCCAGCGGCAGTTCTGGTGAGGGGGGTACTCCAGAGGGTAGCCGGGGGTGGTGATGTAGCCTGCATCGCTGGCATCTAAATAGCCACCGCATGGCTCAGACGCTGGATGGAGAGAGAGATATATAAAGTGTCATTACCAGCATATATAGAAACCACAAAAGTCAAGTTGATGTAGACATTTGTATTTGTTGTGTCTTTAATACTCTATATCCCGTTTTTGTAAGATATGGAAAGTACTCAAAGCTTTAAGTAAATGATCTTTCCATTGGTTAATCCACATGTTTACACATTGGACAAAGGTCATTGATTAGTTTTTCCAAATTTGATCAAAGAAACTGACAGGACAAAGACAATGAGAATATGTCTTTTAAAGGGAATTATAGTAGGAAAGGTGAAGAACTGTAGACAGAAAGATTATATTTTTTGCAAAGAGAGACAAAGATTGAACAGATAACCCTCCAATAGCAATACACAACCTAAATACCTTCCCTCACAGCAGCAGATTTAAGTGGCGAGTACCATCGGGATCAACTTTTGTTTACACGTTTGTTTATCAAGTGTGCTTCTTCAATGGGGGAAAGGGTTGGTAAACTGATAAAATGCTGATAGGAGTTTTGTTTGCAGAGACAGGATATGAGAAACAAAGAAGCGTGTGTCAACGTGTCGATGTAGACATGGTGTCAAAGTTCAACTGAGCATCACGACATACAAAGATTCCATTCTGACCCATTCTGACTGACACACTCACACACACAAATGTACACACACAAACGTACACACACACACACACACACACACACACACACACACACACACACACACACACACACACACACACACACACATTCGCCTGCAGACTTAAATAGCACTGTGCTTTAGGACACTTGTAAATAACTAGCCCATTAGGCTTGGGATATTACCTCCAACTCTGTACATATCACACTCTTACTGGCATGGTTTAACAATGAATGTAAATGTCGTTACTGGAAGTAAAACTAGGAATATATTAAGACATGTACCCGAAGTCGTACGATATAGAACATCCACAAATACACACTTTTTGATGTGCATAGGCTAATAAATAAATCAGAGGCTGTTGTTTCTAAACAGACCAGATTCTCTCCTCCAGGGAAAATACTGGACTTTAAATGGATGTAAGAAATTCAAAGAGAAAGAGGAAAGAAGGCCAAGGGGAGTAGGGGATGGGGAAGGGGAGAAGGAAATAGAGGGGCAGACAGAAAGATAGAGAAAGCATCTAATAAAACTGATCCCAGGATTAGAACTGCAGAGTAAAACAGAAAATGACAAGGACAGGGAGACAGAGGAGTGTGCTTTTCATTTCCACAGCACAGCGCGAGAGTAAAGCGAAACAGAGCAGAGCACAGCGGGCCTTTTCAACCTTTCAGCCTTTCAACAAACAGCCAGCCGGTGAAATATTGATGCTTCAATTCCAACAAAGAAATGTCTGAATGATTTCGGTACATCTGAGTGGGGAAATTCGCCAATCTATAATTGATACAGCTGAAATGTTAATAACTGGACAGGAAAGCACCGGAACAGAGAAATAACGGGAAATAGGGGAAAAGTGTAAGTGTGTGTGTTTCTGCCCTTTTGCCTGTGTCAGTGGGTTACTGTCTGTGGTCTTTTAGATTCCAGAGAGCCACTCTCTACTATGTGTATGATGAAATTGTACATGCAATGACGGTCCCACAGTGATAAGGGAAGGCTAAAAGTTTAAAGTCAGATAGAAAACTTCAAGTTGTTGAATAAAAAACAATACAATACTTGTGTGTGTGTGTGTGTGTGTGTGTGTGTGTGTGTGTGTGTGTGTGTGTGTGTGTGTGTGTGTGTGTGTGTGTGTGTGTGTGTG